GACTTGACATCTCTACCGAAGCTCTATGCAAGACGAAGCCGCTCCACCTCCTGCCTCTGTCTTCCAGCGTTGCTCCACAAACGATGCTTTCAAGAGAGAAATGGCACCGTAGTACCGCCATCGTCCGATCTGGAAGACCAGATCCTAAGGTTTCCCCTGGAGCAGCACGAGTGGGTCGACAATCGTTGCACGACGATGCCTTCATCAAGTAACAGCGTAGAACGCCGCCATCGCCTACCATCGGCTCGGTTTTCACTGGCAACTATGTGTTCCCGACTCGCAGCCGGAACTAGATGACGGATCTCAAGATCTGATCATCCAACCTCAAGCCGACCACGTCCGACGGAGGAGATGGCCACCACCGCTAGCTTCACCGGCCAGATCAGATCTGACCGGAGGTGCCACCAAGCCGCCCACCAGGCCCTCCATGTCGTCGCCGATCCGAAGCCAGATGACCCGCCGCCCGCAGCATAAGTCGCCGCCGCCCGTGACCGGGCTGCCCGTCGTGCCGGAGTCGCCGTCGCCTGCGACAGGGCCAGCCACTGCCGCCACCAGACCTGACGCGCCTCCGCACACGCAAGGGATCCGCACCACCCGTGAGACGCGGGAGAGAGGAGGATCACGAAATAGGCTTTCGCCTTGCTATATAGATATAACAACCACCTGATACAACAAAGAGTCCAATGCTGGGGCAAACAACACAAGCACACCCAAAAGAAACAAAAGAGAAAGAAGAAAGAGAAAATGTCGACAGCGTCAGATCGACGAAAACGATGATGACCCGCAACCGCTGCGCCCACCGGAGATTTACCACCTCACACCTAGCATCTCGAACCTCCGCATACCAAGCAACACCTTCAGGGAGGGAACGACGACGACGACGCTGCTGCCCGGACAAGTCCTAGGGTTTCCCCCAGTGCACGGAGGGGCGAGGGGAAGGGGAATACTCGACGCCCTTCAGGAAGGAATGGTGGCACCCACGGGCGTCACCGCGTTGGTGCTGACAAGCCGGCAGGGATTTCTCCCCTCCAGCAATCACCCACATCCCTGAATGGTCCGATGCACTCCACCACTCATGCCGCCCACCAACATGCGCCACCACGGTCTTGCCATCATCACCGCCACCTCACCATGGTCAACGAAGCGAGAACGACGAGGTCGAAAGGGAGCGGCTAGGAATGAGGAGCGGCAGCGGTAGCGACAGCAGCACGCGGGACGAGACAACCTCCACCGCCGTCGGCGGTCATCGACCGGACACAGCGAGAGGAGAATATCGGGCCCTCGAGGCCCGGCCGAGCCCAAAAGGGGCTCATGAAGCGCCCGTCGCTGTGCTGCAGTAGGCGCACCGCCGTCTCCACAACCCCCCGCACAAGCTGCACCTCCTCTGCCCCTACCAGAGCCGTCGTAGACGAGATCGAGCCAGGCCCGCCCAGACCTAGATGGGGCCCAACGGGGGCCAGATCTGGGCCGGGAGGGCGTCGCCACCATCCACCGCGCCAGCCCGCCGCCAAGTGGCCGCGTCACCGCCCCCTGGCCACCCGGAGCCACGCCGCCGGAGCAGCCGCCGCCGCCGGAACCTCTGCAGACTAAGGAGCACCGCCGCGGGTCACCCCCACCCGAGTGAGGGCACCGCGCGCAGGGAAGGACGAGGCCGCCGCCGACGACGACACCACGCGGGTAGGGCCCGGTGGCGCAGGCCACCGGTGGCGGGAGGAGCGCTAGGGGAGGGGGCGCTGGGGGCGGCGAGAGGAGCCCCCCGGTCGCCTCGCTCGGGGAGGCGACGCGGGGGGAACGAGAGGGAGGAAAGGAAGGAGCGGCGGGAGGAGAACCCGGATCTGGCCTGCGTGCTAGCGAGGCCCGCCGAAACCGGCCGAGATCGGGCGGGAAAGGTGGCGGCGGCAGCGAGGGTTACGGGGTCGAGAGGGAGCAGGGAAGGGGACTATGCATGTCCCAACTGAAAACTGGGAGAGAGGAGGATCCCCGCCACTGCCGTCGGCGTCCTCCGACGGCGGCAGGGTGAGGGAAAGTGGATTCGGGAGCGGGGCGGCTAAGGTTGGGAACCCGCCCGAGTCGCCCCGGGTATCTATCTAAAAAGCAATTACTAGCCGGATGTGAGAAAAATAGCATATGTGGGAAAGGATGCTGCTAGAAAACAAGTACTAACCGGTCTCACTTCTGCCACTAATCTGACAATAAAGAACACATCATCAAGTTTCTAATAAAAGCACAAAAATCTTAGATGTCAAGAATATCAACTATTACTCCGTCCCATAATGTAAGACGTTTTTGCAAGCTAGTTTAACTTACAAAAACGTCTTACATTATGGGACGGATACATAACATTGACGATGAATATCCCGAAACATGGAAGGCCCTTCTCACACCTTGCATTCATGACCCACATCAGCTCTAGCATGTCATATTAATATGACCTAAACAAGCAACACGTGATATCTGTAACAGCTCATACCAGCCATGAGAGCATGCCTATATGTACTCCATTCCCTTCGCTAACTATTTTCCTCTTATGATTCAACACTTCTAGGGATACAAGGGATACTAACTTGTATGTATATAGTTGAAAAAACCACATAACATATGTCGTAAGCAATCCAAACAATTCAAAAAAAAATATTACAGTTGAAAATAAGAAATGCTAGGAAGCTAATCAGCGAAGCAGTGACAAGCATTGCTGCCTATTGGCAGTCAACACACTAAAAAGTACCGCACCACATTCTAAACTAACTATCTTGATTTTAGTAAATGGCGTGATTTACCTCCTGGCGTTGAGATTCATCTGACAACACATAAGATTAAGTTTCTAGTTCTGCGTTTGTTAGTAAATGGTGTGATTCCCACTCATTTTTTTGGTACTGTCATTTGAGTTAGATGTCAAGTATCACAAGATAGGCGTCAAAGTCAGATCATTTTGTCTGAATTCCCATGGTGCTCTGCCTTGTTAACTGAAGAATGCATGCAGAGTTCACTTCTCACACGAGTTAAGTTCAGAGAGTTCAAAGCTGTGCTTAGTTTCAGAAAAAAACATTTTAGCCAATGTATATGCAAACATCAAATGAATCCCTGGATGGAAACAATGTATATATATATTTATCAGCCAATATTCAGTCCTTTGTCTGATTTTTCATTTAGTTAGTTGTCACTGTCTATTCCCATGAACCTATCATCAGTACTGAAAGTTTTGGGATGGGTAGTTGGGTACAGTCGGTACCGACTAATTTTATTCATGCCGTTTGAGTGTTTTAACACAATCATTTTTTTACTATGCACGCCCAAGTACGTTAAGCCTGAACAAATGCTGAAACAAAATATGGTGCAACTTTTCTGTTCGAGTGTGTATTGATTAGAAAAGATGCCCACCAAGAACCATAAACAGACAGCATAAAGATAACTTTGTCAGGATTAGGGTTAAGGTAGTCATATTTCAGACCATTCTTTTTCCTTTCAGTTTTTAGCTAACCACATGCGAAAATACAAGAATGCACTGGAATGATGCCTTCTTTTTTCAGCAGGAGGGTTGTGGATTATGGGGCACATGTCATTTAGTGGTTGTTACGAGCCCAACTACGATCCTGATGACAATCTGTCGAAAAGAGAGAGCTATGAGGAGAGCACCGCATCGAGTGACGAAGTAGTGATCATGATTTTCTCTTTGGTGTCTCTTTTTCTTTTACTTTTTCATTTTATTGTTTTTCAGTCTTAAGAATTCCTACTTTTGTGGTCATTTATCTTCTGGTTTAGTTTTAGTCCTCATTCTTTATTCTTCAGGTTCAGTCATGCATTTTCAGGTTTCAGGTTTCATCCTTGATGTGTTTGTTCAGTTGTAGTTTCAGTAATTTTCATTATTTTTTCATTTTGTTCCTTTGTCATTTATATTTTCACCAACTGAACTTGTTTTTTTTTTCAGTTTTCAGGATTATTTCAGTTATCTTTCTCCAGTTATTTATTGAGGAAGAGTCAATCCTTCTCTTCTCACTTCAAGATTGATCATCTCAAGCCATCCATTGAGGGTGGAAATTTAAGAATAAATAAGTTTTAAGCAAACTTGTTTAGTCGTCTTTTTCAAACTATGTTTCATTCATATGATAGAATTTTAATATGGGTTTAAATAAATTGGATCTTGGCGGAGGCTTCCTGGATAAATATTGCTCCAAAGATAGCAAGTTTAATTTAGGAGTATAAAAAAACTAAACCAATGACTATTCATGATTCCATCCATATTGGATCAATTCTCTATACCACTTTGCTTCAATCATGTCAGTTGTTTCAGTGATAGTTGTCAGTTCAGTTTTGGGCAATAGTTGCACACTATTGATCTCACTCTGGTAGTCTATTCCTGGGTGTCGTTCTTACTCTTTCCTTCTCCATTTATTTCCTTTCAAGTCATCTTTCTTCAGTCTTTAGTAAATGTTTCTCAACCACCTTTGAGTCTCGTTTATTCAGTCCCCTTCTCTATCTATCTTGAGGTTTCAGTGTTCAGTTCTTGTAAGGTTTTCAGTCATCTTTCTTTCTATCATTGGTCATTCAGCTTTCAGATTCATAGGACAAAATCAAAAATCAAATCAAGACACGTGGTAGCACATCATAGGACAGAAATTAGACTTAACCCCAAAGAAAAATCAGTCGACTTAAGAATAGACAGTGCCTTCTCTTTTTCCCTTTTCTCTGTACAACTCTGCAGCGACTACTTGTTTCTTGATGATTTTTATGAGCTATAAGATCGTCCGACCAGAAGATCGTCCCACCAGCTTTAAGTGACCATCTCAAGAAAATGTCCACAATCGTACCAACTGTGCCATTTTTACAGTGACATGAGTTATGGTCAACAAACCAAGTGGGTGAAGCAAGCCTCAACAGGAAAACACGAGACATGATCATAGTGCCAAACTCGCCACAACTCTTTTGTCACCTTCCCTTCCTTTGTGTTAAAGACAGTTCATACAGCAGGCACCTAAAATATCATCTTTACCATGAAATGAAATTCAAAAATGAAACTCTCCTGAAGCCTTGCTGAACAGAACATCTCTGCCGTTCAAATGCATGATTCCACCCTTCAGAGTGCACTTCCAGCGATTCTTTGTCCTTGTTATCTTGTCGAACTGTGCAAGGACAAGGTGCTGCGTGTCATCAAAGTCATCATCAATGTCGTCATCGTCGTCGTCATCTTCATTGAGAGGAGGTTCATCATCATCACCATCACCCGCAACCTGATCTGCACATCCATCCTGCTGTGGCACAAATGAGGCAGCAGAAGGATATTCATCCCTCTTCCGTTTTCCAGAAGACATCATGAGAAAATCCTTAGTCGTCAGTGGCCGGGGTTGCATCATCATCCGGATCTCCTCATCATGAGCAAAAGCAAGGTTCACATCAAGCCCCAGTGGTCTCTGATTCATCCAGGGCGATGGAGGTTGCATGAAAGGGCTTGGGCGGCCAGTCTCTGGATCAGCCCCATTCATCATCCCCATGCCGTTTCTCATGTCACCGATCGGCGATGGGGCATAGTCCCACGGCCCCGTATCAATCCCCTCTGGTAGTGGCGTCTGGATCGGGGTCGGTGGGAAGAGCATGTCGGCGGTTGGGGTGGCGTACTCCTCGGACGTGGCCTCGTAGGGCACGTTGAGATGGTGCACCGGTGGAGTCGCGCCGCCAGCAGACGCTCCAGCGTGGGGAGCCCTGTTGCGGTCGATGTTCGCTGAGATTGCGCCACAGTGCAGCAACTTCGTCTCCCAGAGAGCCTGGAGCTCGTTGAGGACGGAGTCGCCAACGCCGGAGTTCGTAAAGTCCTTACGAACTTTGGAGACGACGTCCTCGACGACAGAGAGGTAGGCACTGGACGCGTTGCCGCTGGCCATGGCGTTGGCGGTTCTAGCGAAAAAGGAGTTCGCGGTTCTAGGTTTAGGGATTGCGCGGGAGGTGGAGGCGGCGAGTGGCCCTGCAGATCGAGGGGGCGGCCTCTTATATAGCCGAGTCTCTCCGATCCCTTCTCTTCCTCACGCGAGGTGGGACTAAATGAACCACTGATTTGAAGCTCAGCCCCCCGAAGCCCCAGTTTGGGCCGGCCCATGGGTCGCACTGCTGTTTCTTTTCTTTTTTGCTTTTTTGCTTTTTTCCGTTTCTGTTTATTTTACGTTTTTCCTTTTTTATCTTTTCATCATTTTTCCCGTGTATTATACAAATGTCTTTGTGTGTTATACACAAAATGTTCATCGTGTATTTAAGGAAATGTTCATGCTATATACTGAGAAAATGTTTGACATAATTAAAAGAATTTTCATTGTTTATTTTAAAATTGGTCAACATATATATAAAAAAATTCAATGTGTTTTAAATATATTTTTAACATATATCACAGAAGTGTTCAATGTGTATTTAAATATTGTTCAGCCTGTATAACAAAAAAGTTCAGTGTGTATTTTAAAAATTGTTTAGCGTATATTACCAATTTTTTAATATATATTTAAGAAAATTCATCACATATAAAAAATTCAATAAATGTTTGGAATTTCAAAAGTTTGTTCATGTTTCTAAAAAAAATCAATTTTCTCAAAAATTGTTCACGTCTTAAAACTTTGTTCGACTTCAAAGTTTCTTCACAGTTTTCAAGCATTATTCGCAATTTTTAAGAAAAATTGTTCACGTTTTTTCAAGAAATGTTGACAAAATTGAAATAAAACGGCCGTCACCATTGGATAGTTTCATTGATGTTGTAGACATATTCTTTCTCATTGTCACTAGTTTTTCTTTTCTCTTCATGCACTTCACTAACCTGTAATAATTTGGTTGTTTGCATCATCAAGATACAATGACCGGGAGATCATGGGTATTCCTCCTTTCCGAAGAAAAAAAACAGTTAATGGGAGATGATAACCAAATTCTTCGTCTTCCAAGAAAACTAAATATCTACACAAGAAAAAGGAAACAAATACTATTACGTTTGTGTTTTGCTCACGAGTCTTGTATATACTAGAAGAACGCCCGTGCGTTGCAACGGGACCACATTAACTTTAAGAGTCCAATATCAATTATGTTAATATTACATTTAATATTCTCATACATATCAAGTGACATTGGCGACCTTTTTTACCATCAAATTCTCTCACACACACTCTCGCCCTCCCTCTTCCTCACTCTCTCTCCCCCTCTCCCTCTCTCTCTCTCTAACACACAAACATATCCATTTTATTGGGTATGGGACTACATTAACTTTAAGAGTTCAATATCAATTATGTTAATATTACATTTAATATTCTCATACATATCAAGTGACATTGGCGGCCTTTTTTACCATCAAATTCTCTCA